AATAGTTTCACGGCTCTAAAAGTCCTCTCTGTTCTGGCCTATGCTATGTCTTTTTTGACTCACCATTAGTCCCCAGTTGCCTGCAGGCATAGTTCTTGGTAAATAATACATATTCAAAAAATTTTTGAATGAATAATTTAATTAATAATTTTTAAGAATAGAGTCCTGATAAAATATTTACATTTTAATATGCATTTAGATTTTAAAAACAAACAAGCAAAAAACCTCTAAGCTCCCTAGAAGAAAGAATAAGTTACTTTCAAAGATGCAAAAAATCAATTATTCATTTGCAGCATTAAATAACAACAGAAAATAGAGCTATGCTTATTAAATTCAAGGAGTACAATATTGAATGAGCAGTGATCAGTAAGTACAATTAAAGATATAGAGATAAATGATTACAGGAACTAAGAAGAAAGTGTATTTTTAAAATCTAACTGGTAACAAAAATCAGAAGATAAAATATTAAGGAGACTTCTTCACTGAAAACTGAGAAGTAAATTTCACAACTCATCCAGTAACCATCTACTGCAAATGGCAAAAATTATGGATTTTTGCCTCCCTTTCTAGTTTCATTTTTCCTTCCCTTCTATGATCCTTTGTCTTGTTTCTCAAATTCCTCTTATCAGTGAGATCATATGATAATTGTCTTTCTCTGATTGACTAATTTTGCTTAGCATAATACCCTCTAGTTTTTGTATCAAAAAGCATAATAATTTTCATAACTTGAGACACCATAATCTCCTGTGTGGGATTCTATCCTGGGGAATTAATCCAATATGTAGAAAACAATACAGATGAGGATATTTGTGGCAACATTTTAATGAAAAAAAAAATCAGTTGGAAGTTACCCAAATGTTCCACAATAGAACACTGGTTAAATAATATTTGGTACACAGACATAGAATATTACTTAGAAAAAAGAGAAAATATTTATGTGTAACTCTAATGTTAGAGAATAAAATTAAGATATGCAACTGTAGGTACATTAATTATATTAAATATATGTAATGAAAACATAGGAAGAGATACACAGACACATACCAAAGATAATTATCTGAAGCTGATAAAATAGTAGGTTATCTATGCTTCTTCTAGTTTTAGATATTTATAGCTTTTTTAATGTTTTTAACTTAATTTCAAGTGATCTTATATAGAGTTTGAAGTATATGCATTGATGAAATATATCATCAAGATAGGAATTGACAAGGAAATCTAAAATACATTTATACATACACACATGTATACATGAACATACTCTGTATATCTAGTATTTAATATATGTATGTTTAGTATACATATTGATTGAATATACATAGCCTACAACTTGCTTTTTAAAACTTAATGTATCTTAGATTACCATATGACCAAAAATCCATCTGTGAGAAGGTTGCAGGAGTAGTTCAAGTCCATTATGATTGATTGGAGAATCTTGAGGCTGGGTTCATGCAGACGGGTTATAACTCAGAAGCTACTCAGATATGAAATGGAGGCTATATAGTACTTATTTTCCTTTTGTCTACAGTCCTTGTATTGCGAATTGTAATTTTTAGTAGCATTAAGTTAAAATTGATTTTTAAAAAAGATGGGAATTGAATCAGGGGGAAAAAAATGAATGAGTAAGTCTCAACATTGGAAAGTGCATGTGAATTGTAAATACTGTATTACCTCAACTTGAATTTAAGAATCATAAAAGAAGCACAATATTAAACTCCAAATATTTTTGTTTTACTCTTTCTCCCATTAAAAAAAAAAGAAAGAAAGTGGAGGCAAATAATTATCATTTCACTGTGAAAGCAACAACTACTATTCTTTTGTTGTAAACATGCTAGAAATAGAATGTGTGGATTTTTTTTTTTTTAGATTTCTCTGTAGGTTTAATTTTTTATTGCTTTTTAAATTAAAGTTCTATATCTTAATTCCAGTATAGTATATAGAACATACAGTGTTATATTAGTTTTAGGTGTACAATATAGTGATTCAGCAATTCTTTACATCATTACCCAGTGCTTGTCTTAATAAATGTACTCTTAACCCCTTCACATATTTCACCCATCACCCCAACCCACCCACCTCTGATATGCTTTAAATGAGTACCCTCAGTTAAAGTTGTTGTTTTTGGTTTTTTTTAGCAAGAACATTTTTTACCTGAAGCATAGTTCAGAATACACTGTGTAGTTTTCAGTTGGAATTAGTTGGAATTTTTTTTTTCACAATTAGTTACTTAAGAAACATTTTATCTTTCAATAAGATGTTTAAATTTTATGGTAATTAATCAGAACATTAAATATTCAATATTTAGAAGTCAAAATTTATAGTGAAATCTTTATCAAATAAATTCAAATTTATTGAATTTAAACATACTTGTTCCCCTCAAATATATATATTTAACTAATTTAAAATAATCTAACCAATTAAAGAAAATTAAAACATAGAAGTGGAAATCAGATATATCACTGGAAAGGAAAGATATGTGTTTGTTCATCTAATGACATGTCAGCCAATTTTGTAGTTTGAAAATAACTTAGATTTATTCTCTTAAAATATTCTCAAAGAATAAGCAAGTTAAGCTAGTTTTCAGAATTGGGAATGAGTCCATCATCATATAAAAGTTGGGATTTTAGAGGATTCCTACTTATTCAAACAGACTTTTGAAGTTCAGTCACTCAGCTATATACCAGTTCAAATCTGTGAAGAGACAAGGATGAGAAATAGGAATTTGATTATCTTTTTAGCCTTTAAAGAAACTAAAAAGATAGATATATACAAAGATATATGAGATCCATGTAGATGTTTCAGACAGGGGTTAGTTGCGAAGAACTAAATTACTCTAGTTTAAGAAAGAGGTATTATAGTTACTAAGTTTTTTGTAAAATTATTGACTTAAATTAATGGACTTCAGGGTGACTTGAAAGATCAAGGATGATTTTCCAAGTCAAACTATACGACCAACACAAAGGAAGGTGTCTTCTAAGCCACCAGGCCCAGAAGCATGCTCCATTGCCATGGTTAAAGAAGCCACTATAATCAGGATGGTGCCACATTCAGGAAGTTGCTGCAATCTGGAGACCTCCAATCTTGCCAGTTCCAGAATCCCACCATGCAAACTATGATTTGCACCAACAAAATGGATGTCCCGTGCCCTGATTCTTGATTCTCATAAAGCTAATGCTGCCTTGGGGTGGCAGGGAGGAAAGGAAAAATAGACTCCATTAATATGCTTACCAGCAGAAATGCAAAAGCAGAAGTTCAATATCCATCTCACTTTTACTTTCAAATTTCAGGCATATTCATCTGACTGACTGAAGCTAAAACACATTGAGTCTTAACTGCAGAGGAATCTTAGAAATAAGATTTTTCGCTCTCCATCTTCTGCAGTACACGGAGATAACTAGGATGAAGAGTGAAATGGATGTTGAACACTAATGTAACCATATCCCTTTGGTTACTCAACATATATACACATCCTTTTCCCCACTTGGCAACATTCAAAAGCAACAATAAGCAACAACTGTGTTCCATACTGATATAATGCAAATATCACTTTTAAAATGAAAATGTACTGACCCTTTCCCTAAGCAGGAAAGCCAAAGAAAGTTCCATCAGTAAATCTGTCCATCTCACGGTGAGAGTTTATTCTTCCTCTAATGAACTATATTAGAAAGTTACCTATCTACAACACTACATAAAATATCAGAAGAAAGGAAAGGGCCCAATTCATTAATATGTATACACAAAACAATACCTGGAAGAAAGTATAGCTATTATAGTCTTCATTTCACAAAGTTACAGTGACAACCTTCCTTCCTCCTCTATTTCTTTTTTTAATTTTTTAAAATTTATTTTCAGCATAACAGTATTCATTGTTTTTTGCACCACACCCAGTGCTCCATGCAATCCGTGTCCTCCTCTATTTCTTATTGCCTTTGCCTTCAAAGAGCACCTAGGCTGGTAGAGGACTTTGAATGTGATGTGGTGACTCAAATGTTTTTTTCCTGAGAGACAAGAGCCTATAACGACTTCCTATGGTTATAGCTGGAAATGGCAGTCTTTGGCATGCTCCAGAATATTTCAAATAACAAACAAAAACACCTTGCTGTCCACAGTGTATAGCAGCAACCTTAGCTGAAAGCCTCTGGAAAATGTGGTGTTTGTCTTTCTGGCCTCTACAGTAGCCAAAGCACTTGAAGGAGGATGAAATGGGTGCAGTCATCTACTTCTTTCACCACAGGAAAATGGGGTGAGGGGGGAACTACTGTTTTATTATTTTTACCACAGTAAGTAGAGGAATAAAAAATACTCTTTTCTCCACTTAAATATGGTCACATTTTAATGTCTGAGATAGTGTTAAGCTTAGGTATACAAAGAGAGTTAGTTAAACTCACAAAGGGCTCAAGTTTGGTATGAGAGCTGTCACATGAGCTTATAATCAGGAAAGATCATCTCAATGCATAAATTATGCTTTGACAGAAAAGTTCCTTTCTGCCTCCCTCCCATATCCTAGCAATGTGATAGGTCTACATTTAGACCACTCCCATATATCGTGAATGTTCTGTGTCACCTCTTCTCTATTAAATCCATACAGCTTATATGACTCCCCTTTATGTAGAGCCCAGAAGGAAATATTTTTCATGTCTCTTTCTCAAAAAAATCAAAGTTCCATAACTTTGAAAGGTGAAAATTTCTGATAACCTATGAGAGAAAAGCCCTTCTTCAATTTCTTTGAATGATTCTTCCTTAATGTCAGGATGTGTTTTGGGCCCTTTCCAAGAAACTCATGCTATCAGGCTAGATGGTAATACTTTTTATTGCTCTGCTGAGTCCTGCTAAGATGCACACAGATATAGATCAGACAGTGACTAACACTGATTTTGCCACGTTAGTAGTACCTGTTAATTGGATGATATAGGAGTGATTTCTTAGGGTTTTAGGAAAACCGAACAATCTCAAGCATAGAAGAAACTTCAAAATTAATCTGTCATTTAATAATCTGTTGACAGGTTGGTTATTGGAAGGACATGGAACAAGAAGATGCAGCAGAAACAGTCAAAACTAGAGGGAATGAGTCCTCTCTCATTCTGACAGGATTAGAAGGAAATACTTTATATCACTTCACGGTGAGGGCTTATAATGGAGCTGGATATGGGCCACCTAGCCGTGAAGTGAGTGCAACCACCAAGAAATCCCGTAAGTGACTGGGGCTTTTTGTTTATTTCAAACAAAAGGAAAACATCTTTTAACATTTCTGAAAGCCATGTGAGGTACAAAATAAGAAGAGTTGAAGGGGAGTTTTAATTCATAGTCTTGCTTGAATGCTTAGATCTAAAATCCAAAACTAGCTCAGAAAATTATGCATTCACAGTAGATAAAGGTTATCTTCCTGTGAAACAAGGCCAAGCGATTTTGTCACAGAAGGAAGATAAAAGGATTCTGGTTCAAAAGCTCAGTAGAGTAACTATTAAAATGACACTCTGGAGCAAAAACCCTCCTTATCTGACTCCAGTTGGAAAGAAGCCTATGGTGCCAGCCAACTACCAAACACAAGAAAAGATTGAAATACAAAGATTTAAGTGAAGAAATGGATTTAACATTCCTTGTCAGTTCACTTTCACTTTTTATTTTGCAGCCCCTAGTCAAGCACCCAGCAATCTCAGGTGGGAACAGCAAGACTCTCAACTTTCTCTGGGCTGGGAACCAGTCAGACCATTGGCCAATGAATCTGAAGTCACGGGCTACAAGGTCAGTATGTTTCTTCACTCCCTTGTATAGACACCTTAAAAATTGTTAGTATGAGGATATGCAAATATAAGGCATGAGCATACCTGTTTTTCCCAGTCATATTCTACTTATAAGTTAGAAGAAAAACCCCCTACAATATGTCAGCCATAGCAGTCAAAATCAGTTTTAACTGAACAAGGCATAGGAAGGGAATGAGTAGGAAAAGCAGCAACAGTTTGAATCCAGGATAAAGAACGACTCTATGAAGCAGTGTCAGGACCAACAGAACTTAAGCACAGAGTCCTAGCATTTTCTCCCAAAAGATAAAGTTTTCTGGCAGATGACAAAGACTGGATGATTTAATTTGCATGGAAAGACTACTAGCAAAAAAAAAAAAAAAGAAAGAAAGAAAAACTGTTAGGTCCAACACTTTCTTAAGAGA